CTGGTGTGCGGCACCAGCAGCGGAGGTGACATCTCTGGCACGTTGCCCCTCGGATACAGCCCGGCCTGTGGCAGCACCGGGGTGTCCCCAGCACCGGGGTGTCCCTGCTTGCTTTGTGGCTTTGGGCTCTGCTCCCATGCCCAGAGCACTTGGCTGTGGTGACCCCACCAGCGTGGGGCTGACCAGGGGTATCACTGTGCCAGGGGCTCACAGGCAGGGGTGGTCCAGGCACCCTGGCCCCTCAGTCCACCCTCGCAGGGTACAAATGTGGCCACTTTTTAGAGCTGGAGGAGCTGGATCACACGTGGCCCGTGCAGACACTGTCGGGGCTCACAAGTTTGAGGGTGTTTCATTTGTCACACCTCCTGGCTGTGGAAAAAGCCAGCAGCAGGAGAGGGACAAATCAAATTACAAGCTGCTAATGAAAATAATGAGGAACAAAGTACTTTTGGAGGCTGCTTGGTTGGATTCCTATTTCCATGTGTCACTGGATTTAAATCGGTGATGTTTATAGCCCTCGAGAAGCAGTCATTTAATTGCCCCTTGTGATTAGCTGCAATGCAATTGACCATGAATCTCCTGCTCTCGCAGACCTGAGCACTTGGCTGATGAGAGGCAGCGGCTCCTGCTCCCGTGGCTGGAGACCCCGAAGCCCCCCTGAGCCTTGCAGGGGTCCAGCCCTGCTGCTCATCCCAGGGCAAAACACGATCAGGGTTGCTGAGGGTCCTCTTGTAGTCCAGCTCCTGTGTTCACACAGCAGATGATCTGTCAGGAGGGTTTTGCCTGGTTTCCATGCAATGACCCGGCAGGGAGCAGCTGTGAACGCCTGCCCGGGCTGGCAGCCTCTGTTTGCAGCTATTGACTCTGAGTAAATAATCTCCAGATATATTTTTCTCCCGATAAAAGCTGATTTTTTTCTATTATTGTCCGGGGTGTTTATTAGAGCAGAAAAATAATAGTGTGGTGCTTGCAGCCTGATTGCCAGGAAGGGTCAGGACTCGCAGCCCTGGCAGCCGGGATCAAACGTGCTGCATGGCACTGTGGGCAGGGGGGCACAAAAATCCCCCTGCCCGGCTGGTCTGATGAGGGCTGGCATCGAAGGGACATTTCTCTTCAGCAATGGCAGAGGCACAAGATGCTCCACACATCTGAGATCTGGAGAGTCTTGGCAAGGAGGAGTGGGAATTTCCAGGAGTGCCGAGGGAAGAGGGGCCGGCGCAGGCTCAGCCATCGGACACGGGGACGTTCCTCTGCTCTGGACAGGTGGGCAGCAGTGCCAGGGATTTAGGAACGTGCAGGTTTTATGTGGTGGTGTGGAAGGTCTCTCCCTCTTGCCCATCCACCCAAAGGGCTGCTCTCCCACGCTGGACCTGCAGCCCCTTCACATCCTTTAGGCATCTTGCAGATTAGAGATGAATAATTGCAGGCAGCACGGGCAGTGCTCTGCCCCTCTTGCCCCATGCTCCCCCTCCCTCTGCCCACCAGGGACTCTCAGATCCCCATAACGAGGAAAATTAGTCCTTCTGCCTCATTAATTACAGTGATGTGGTAGGAGCCTTGTTCAAGGTTGCCCTCTCACCCCCCTGCAATCAATCCTCTCTGGTTTGCAGCGGCTGCACCAGGGAGGAGCCGGGGAGCAGCAGTGGCACATGGTGGGGACAAGCACCATGGGCATCCCTGGAGCTTAGGAACTGGGTGACCAGGCTGAGTGGACACAGGAGGGTCCTGGCTAGGCTTCCTCCCCGAGGCAGCTCTGTGCTGGCAGCCTGGGCTCCCTGTGTCCCCTCATGTCCCCCCAGGCTGCCATCCTGAGCCGAGGGTCTCCTCCCTGCCATCCCTGCAGGGCAGCTTGGCCATGAGCCCTCTGCTCCCTCCCCTTGCTGACAGCTGAACAAGGTGGTTTGTTTGAATTCGTCACGTTGGCTGGCAATTAAGCAGCTCTCCTCATCCATTAGAGCCTGCAGCAGGTTCTGCACTTGGATCAGGCATCTTCCATGACTGGCAATTTTTATTTTTTCAGGAAATGAAAAGAAGAAAGGGAAAATCTCTTTAGGGAGGCTGGTTCTTGCTGACAGCTCAGCTGATACAAGCCAGTAACGTACTTTATTCTGCTTAATAGCAATGATCCACCCAGCAGGGATTAAACCAGAGGTGCTGACAAGAGGCCTGAGACATGGAGGCAGCTGAAAGCCCCTGGAGCTTCTTGTGGGGAGCAGTGGGAGCACAGTGCCAGCCAGTGGGGCTCTGCCAGCCCTGCTGCCTGGGCCTGGGGTTGCTGTGGTGGTGGGCTCCCCACCTGCCTGGTGCCATCAGTCCCTATCCCATGTGCTGGCACCTGGGAAAAGCCCTGTGGCTGCTTGGTAGGTGGTCCTAGACAAGGGAGGCTGCTGCACCATGGGCTGCAGGCCCACAGCCTCCCACTCACCCCAAAACAAGCCCTGTCAGGGCCACAAGAACCCACCCTCCCTCCAAACTGTGCTCCCCAGTCTGTCCCACGCCATGTCACCACCTGCCTCTGCACTGCCACAGCCTCATCCTGCAGGAAGCAGACCCCTCCCTGCCCTGGGCTGACTGACTGGTAAGGACTGTGGCCCCAGCAGGATGACTCCCTGTGTCTTGTCCCCCTGTCCCATCCCAGGGATGGGATCTGTGGGCTCGTGAGAGTGACTCAGAGCCAAAGGGGAAGCGAGAGCGGTGCCGTGGGGACGTCTGATCTCGGGATGGGGCCGCTAGCCTGGGCAGGACAGGGAACTGCACTGAGAGCTGTGCCCCAACAGACTGGCACGCTCAGGGCCTCCTCAGGGACAAACACTTTCCCTGTGGAGCACGGGCAAGGCGAGCCCAGGCATGTGCTGGGGTGGGATGTACAGACCCTCCAGAGGGCACACCAGAGCGTGGGTGCAGCTGTTTGTGTCCAGCTGGGTGTTGGTTTGAGCTTTGCTTGCCCTCTGGTTCCCACGGAGATGCCCAGGTCGCCATGGCTACCCGCTGATATTCCTGCTCCTGCTGGTAAACAGCCTGTGAGCTGTTCGCTTCCGTCCCCAAACACGGGGGGTTGCTACACCCCAGGGAAGTGTCGCAAGAGCAGCAGCTGTGGGAACCACCCCTGCCCCCTGGCCCTGGCAGCCATGCCCCCCACCAGCCCTGCCAGGAGCCCAGACCACTGTGGGCAGGGGAGATTTGGGGGGGAAAATGTGCTCAGATTGTCAGCACTGCTGAAGCCCAGGGCCATCTCCCTGCACCCAGC